GTAAAATTGATTTTTTTGCCATTTTTTTTTATAACTTTTAGATCTTCTGCTTTTTTGGAACATACCTACCTAGATATGGTGCTCCTGTGTACAAAATTTCAGAGCTTCCCAACGATTCCTCGAGGCTCTGCAAGCTTAAAAAGTTGAATTTTTCGCCAAAATCTTGACTTGCCGTATCCGAAGCGGCAACGGCTGTTTGCCTTGATATTTATACCCGTGATAGAGTATACCATGAGGTACCACCCATAAAATTTTCAGCCTTGGCCCCACGAAGGAAAATGCCATTTTTCATCAAAACTCGTCCATCCTCATATTTATCATATTTTTCTCAATTTTGAGGTTTTTTTCGTAACCAAATTAGATATTATCACACACAGAACTCTTCTATATTTAAATAACATCTAGTTCTGCTAGTTACTTGCATTATTCAGGATCATCGTTTGATCAATTGACGTCGATAAGATAAAAATGTGTCATGTATTGATTCACTCACTACTTTATTCATTTACATCTCGAAACTAAGGAATTTACTTTTCCATCTTTCATATGAGCTGATTTGAAACTCAAGAATACATCTGTCGCCAATCAGAGTCGTATATAAATATGTCTTCATTATACTAGCTAATCTGATGATGTGTCCAATGTAAACTGAGAATGCTAGATGAAGTTATACTGAGCATTTTATTTCGTGTGATCATCCATACACTAGAAGAATAGGAAGTCTCATTTTTCATTGGTTATATTCAGCATCGTCAATGTCATCGAAGGAAGTAATTGCATTGTTGATCTCATCGGTTTTCATGTCATGAAATTCTTGATTTCGTTGAATTCTGAAGTAATGTTGTGCGTCATCTTCATCGCTACTTATTGATAAGTTATCTTTTTGAACCTTTTGAGTCCATCGAGATCTCCGTTCAATTGACTCTTTTCTTGATAAACGTCCAAAAAGACTACGGATTTGATTTTTACTTAGATATTGTTTGGTTGTAAACAGCTTAGACTTGTCTGCTTTCACTGCGCAACGCATGGCTTGTAGTGCGTCTTCAACCGTGACCTTTTTCCCGGTATTCTCGCCTTGACGAAATAGTTCAAGGAAGAAATGCTGATGTTCCTGGGTAATTTTTGTTGTTATTTGTCTGCGACGAATGGCATATCCTTGAGTGAAAAATATTTGGTTAAATTTCTCAGTTTTGTATTTTAAATCCGTATTGTCGATTTTCGACGTTTCGAAAGATTGAACTGCTGCTGTATTAGATGTTTCCTCAATAAGACGTGCTCCTTTCAAATGTTCAATATAAGCATAGCGTGCACGGTCGATCGTTGATAATGAAAGTTCATTTGCGGAAATGTGCTCTCCTTTTTCTTCATGTTGCATTAGATCTTCCTCATTTGCGAAGGTTGCTGAACATGTGCTATTAGAACAGAAAAATATTTCCGAAGACAAAGTACTTCTCATACAAAATTCTTTGTTTTGATGTTGATCATCACAAAACGGTTGTATTACTGAGGTTCGTAGAGTACACGAGCTGTTCACGATTTTTTTTGATATTCCATTACCAATTCCAAAATATTGCCAAAATCTAACCATCCTACCATCGAATGCGACTGAGTGATATTTCGTTATACCTTCTATTTTAATTTTCGGTAAAATACATTGCGATTCATAAACAGCAATAACCGATGTCTTGGAATTAGACAATTTGCCGAACGAACTATCTAAAGCTTCTTTGATCGATGTTGCATTAATCAAATCACCACCACGGTTTGTGTAAGCTCGAAGACAGGATTTGGCTACGGCTATATCCCGATCCGCCTGGTCTTTCCCTCTTTGTCGCTCACTAAAATCAGTTCTTTTTAGACAAATGTCTGCGCTGTCACATACCATCTTGCGAGCTATTATAATCGACGCTCCAGCATAACATCCAGCATTATCACTTCTGGTATATAGATTTTTCAGATTTGGAAGATCTGTTTTAATTTGATCAAGAACATGCTCAAACACGCACAGAACGGATGACATGTCCTGCAAACAACGATCAATAGCCGTGAAGTACGTCATCTTTTTCAATTTACGATTGATGTCCATGTAGAAAAGTACATCGACATGCAAAGAGATTCCCTTCTTTCCAAACCATTCATCCATTTTTTCACGGTGCTGTTGTGGTAACACTTTCATTGCCCAATCTGATAATAGTAAACCGCTTTGAGAATCCAGTCGCGAGATAACGAATTGTTTGCTCTTATCTTGCTGTACTCCTCGAATTATATGGAACATCCATGACAGAATATCGTTTTTGGCAGTGATAAAATCTACTTCAAGCTCGTCTTTGTCGTTTGATGATGGAATGTTAGTCAATAGCTCTTCTATTCGACAAATTAAAGCAAGTAGAGAATTACATTTGATGCAACTCATGTAATGACGTGAATGCTTGCAACTACGTTTCAAATTTTCTTCAATTGAACTGCTGAATGCAAATAATCGACAATGCGTCGCACAATCAGTGTCATCTTGATTAACGTTTTGGCCATACTCGAATTTCAAGTAAGTTCTGCTAAGCTTAATAAGCTGTAGCAGATTATTTTGTTCAGTATTGCTTATTCGTAAATCTCTCACTAGGCGTTCCAAAGTATCAAAGCCAGCATTTCCATCGACAGCGAAACTATCCAGTCCACATAATGTTTTCTTTTGTCGCATTTTGCACGCACTTAGTACACGCAGAACTGTGCTACGACTAAGTGGTTCCTCATAATTTGTTAGTGCACAGTGTCTTCGATAAAGTTGGAAAATATGAGTTTTCATCATAACTCTAACGACATGCGGAATAAGTATTTCGTCTCCTCGACCGAACCGCACGAAGGTCGTGCCATGCGCAACGTCTTGAATTAGTCCAGTGGAAAATAAAAAATCGAAGAAAAAATCGAGTCGATGCTTTTCCAAACGTTCTCGTCGAATACTACTTTGGTTCATTGTATCAAAACGTTTATTTTCGTGCGCAATATACCGGCTCTTGTCAATCATATAACGACTGCAGTTGAATGTGCCTTGAAGTTTTTCGCGAGTAGATTCCTTTGCTACCGTAGATAAAAGAAAATATTTCCATTTATTCGTTGGAGCTGCATTATACGCTTCAACGAGCGATGCCATAGTAGGATCAAGTTTGTTTCCTTCAATACCGTCATTCATATTGTTTTCAAATTATTGACGGAGAGTTTCACCTTGGCCAGGCGCCATTGCTTCACAGATAAAATACGAAAACTCTTGCACAATTGACTCATAATGATTCTTTAGTTTTCGAAGAGTGGCATTGGATATATCATGAAGTGGTTGATGAACTTGATATGTTAGCGGCTTGATATTCTTAGATATTTCATTCAACAAACGATTTATGTCATGGAGTGGTACATCTTCCGGATATACGGTATTCGTAGAAATATCACCAAAATTAGCTTCCGGCTCACTATCGATGTGTATTGTTATTTCTTCTAATCGTTCTTGAGCTTGTAATTTTGAAATTCGATTTGCTGAACATAGATCTTCGGTATCTAACGTTGGAATCTTCCGAGCGTCGCAAGCCGATTTGATTTTATTGAACATTTTCTGCATATCTTTTGTCCTACAGGAAGTTTATAACTTTTGTTACCTTTGAAACCTTCTATTTCAACCAGTTTTTGACAGTAATCAACGGGTAAAGAGTGTGTGGCCTTTGGCTTTCGACCACTATGACGAGGCGATTGACACAGTATAGATGGCCGCCAAAATAATCCAAGCGAGTAACGATGGTAAGGACAAATCATATCATCATCATTACAAATATCCGATACACCCATACGATTCATAATTAGAGATCGTTCTGTAAAAGAAGATAAGTCGACACCAATTTTAGAGCTGTGTCGATGAAGGTCTCCATTTAATGAAGACACGCCGACTAATTCCTGGCGAACATATCCTTTTTTGTCATAAAAAAAATTGCAATTGCTGCGGTCATAAAATATGCATTTCGAGAATATCTCCGTTCTTGACATAATACACAAATTTCCAATATGTAATAACACTGCAATTAAACGTAACGTAAACAGGTGTTCCGTGTAATGATTATCGATTGACACTCCTTTGACAATTAGAATAGGTTAGACTTTTCAAAGTCGAGCGAAACTAATACGAACTGACTGCAAAATCAGCGAAAGTAGATATACACGTCTATGTTCTAAGTGTGGTTTGGTCAAACTTGTATATCAATATATGTAATCTTTTCTTTCAAACGAAAACAGAAAACATTCACACATTCCAGAGAGATATAAGAGAAAGAATCAGTGATTTTTCATATTTTATACAAAGAAGAGAAGAAGAAAGGATAAAAAAATCCATGCGCATATATTATGTAAACATATAATACCGTCGCGCATAAAAACATACTCAAAGCATACCACATACAAACATTTAACACTACTTTCTTTCATTCTATTTATTGCATACAAACGCGCTGCATAAATCTCTTTTATTTTACATTGGACACATCATCAGATTAGCTAGTATAATGAAGACATATTTATATACGACTCTGATTGGCGACAGATGTATTCTTGAATTTCAAATCAGCTCACATGAAAGATAGAAAAGTAAATTCCTTAGTTTCGAGATGTAAATGAATAAAGTAGTGAGTGAATCAATGCATGACACATTTTTATCTTATCGACGTCAATTGATCAAACGATGATCCTGAATAATGCAAGTAACTAACAGAACTAGATGTTATTTAAATATAGAAGAGTTCTGTGTGTGTTAATATCTAATTTAGTTACGAAAAAAACCTCAAAATTGAGAAAAATATGATAAATATGAGGATGGACGAGTTTTGATGAAAAATGGCATTTTCCTTCGTGGGCCAAGACTGAAAATTTTATGGGTGGTACCTCATGGTATACTCTATCACCGGTATAAATATCAAGGCAAACGGCCGTTGCCGCTTCGGATACGACAAGTCAAGATTTTGACGAAAAATTCAACTTTTTAAGCTTGCAGAGCCTCGAGGAATCGTTGGGAAGCTCTGAAGTTTTGTACAAAGGAGCACCATATCTAGGTAGGTATGTTCCAAAAAGCAGAAGATCTAAAAGTTATAAAAAAATGGCAAAAAAATCAATTTTACTAAAAAACGTCACCCTCGAGAACTTCTGAAAAATCCGGTCTTCTATGGAGTTTTTGACCATGAAGAAGTGGCCCGTTAGGTCTGAAATTTTTATGGGATACTTACATCAATACCCTCTACAACATATGAAAAAATCAGCAAATTCTGAGACATCATTGTCTCACGACCGTCTGAGTTTCTCAGAAACTCACTCTTAAGACCTTTGAAACATTGAAGATTAATTGGATCAATATATTGAAAGATTTCAATAAATAATTCATTAGGAAATGTTTCAACCTGAGATGTAACAATTTTATCCATTTTTTTCATAATCTTTTATCAATTGTCTGATATTTAATATAGTATTTCATAACCGGGAAAAAACCCATTGTCTGGGTACATAAACCTTCACCTTCTGTTGACAAAACTTGAATGAAAGAAGCGAACATGTGATGCATCGACATTGTTTTTCTTTCATTTCTTTTTGAAAAGGATTCATTTCTCATCTACAAATGATGATGAAGTTAACACATTGATATTATAAAAACTTAAAAGGATCAAAATTACCTTCTGCTCTCAAAAATGACACATTTTTAAACGGTCCTCTCACTCGGAATGCCTGAAATGATTAACAATTTCAATATATTTAGGAACTGAAAAGCATACGTTGATTAACTAAGAAATTATTTTGAGTGCCAATAACTAAAATGGGTCATGTGTAACGTTTCAAAGCAGACACTATTCAATATATGTTTCTCTCAAAAATACAGTTTAATATATGTCACGTTTAATTTTTTTTAATATTTAATTGGATGAAGAATAATACATTTTTGTCTTTATTTCTTTGCTTTTTGTTTGTTCTCAAAATTCGATTTATTTAATAATATCAGTTCTTCGATCTTTTCCGATTTATTTTCGTTGTGATATAAAAATTGTATAACTGGATTGTCTAATGTATTACCTTCACTAAGAATCTGTTTAAGTTGATTAAAATATTGTTCATCTAATGTTGAAATATACTCGGTTGCCAAAAATGTTTTTCCAGGGGGGTACAGCCCTAACGACTAGTGATAGACACAATGAATTTTATACCAAAAGAAAGCCCGTCAAAAACGGGAGCT